CATTGCTTGCTTTCAAAAGCACTACTAATTTGGTGGACCACTGTCTTGATACTCCCCGTCCTATAATACAAACTTGGGACGAGAGTAAAGACTGCTGCTTCTGGGAGGGCATCACATGCGACAAGATGAGAGGTCACGTGATTGGCCTTGATCTTAGCGGTAATTGTCTTGAAGCCAATCTAACTACAAATAGTAGTCTTTTTCACCTTAAGAAATTGCAGAGCCTCAACCTTGCTTACAACGATTTTAGCTACCCCAATCTCTCTTTTGGGTTCGACCGTTGGAAGAGTTTGACATATCTTAATCTTTCATGTACGAGATTTCATTTCCTTTTCTTTTGTTTAAAATCTCCATGCTCCCAAAATTGGTTTCATTTCTTCTGATCTGACAAATCTTTAACCTTGCAGATTCAGTATCTGGGTTCAACCATTGGAAGAGTTTAAACTATGTTGATCTTTCAGGTACGAGCTTTCATTTCTTTTTCTTTTGTCTAAAATCTCCATGCTTCCAAAACTGGTTTCACTTCTTCTAATGTGACAAATCTTTAACTTTGTGGATTCAGCATACATGAATAGCCCTCACCTGTTTGATGAGATCGTCTTGCTACCGAAATTGGTTTCACTCGATCTCTCTGATAATTATGGTTTGCTTCTTGACAACATAAAGTTTCAAATACTTGTGCATAACTTAACAGAATTGAGGTTTCTTGTCCTTGATTACTTGAATATGTCTCTGGTTGTGCCTTCTTCCTTGCTAAACTTGACTTCTTCCTTGAAGCATTTGAGCCTTCGCTCTTGTAATTTGCAAGGAAACTTTCCAAGCCAAGTTTTTCAGCTTTCATCTCTCCAGCTTCTTGATTTAAGCAACAACTCTTATTTAGGAGATAATTTGTCTGAGTCAAACCTGAGTAGTACCCTTGAGTATCTGAATCTTGATGGTTGCCAATTTTATGGATCAATTCCAGATGTCTTTGAAAAAATGCACAAGCTAACTCATTTGAGCCTTTTTAATAATAGTTTTGATGGTGAAATTCCTACATCAATCTTCAACCTCGCTAATCTTACTTATTTGAGACTGTCATCAAATAAGCTAAGAGGGCCTCTTCCTCGCAATATAAGTGGACTCTCATTTTTACTTGAGTTTCGAATGGATAATAATTTCATCGTAGGTCCTGTACCATCTTGGTTGTTTTCTCTACCTTCTTTATTCTATTTAGACCTCAAAAACAACAAACTTACAGGTCCTATTGATCATGTTGAGATACCTAATCTCATTTTACAAGAAACCTATTTGTCCAATAATGAGATAAGTGGTTTTGGAAATCTTAAAACTGTTGACCTCAGATTCAATGTACTACAAGGATCACTTCCCATTCCATCAACAACTTGGGATTCTATGCAACAACTCTTCATTTCAGGGAATAAATTGACTGGCGAAATCCCTTCTTCTTATTGCAATTTGACTTCTCTTGGAGTTCTAGATTTAGCTAATAATAGTTTGGGGGGAAAAATTCCAGAATGTCTTGGAAACTTGAGTAATCTTGTCTTCTTGGATCTGCGGATGAATAAGTTTCACGGTAGAATACCAAATTCTTTTGTCAACATGAATACACTGAGAACTCTTAACCTAAATGGCAACCAGTTGGAAGGGATACTGCCACGGTCTTTGGTTAATTGCAGTAAGTTGGAAATTCTAGATGTGGGGAACAACAACTTGAATGATACCTTTCCAGATTGGTTAGGTGTTCTTCAATCGCTAAAAGTTCTCATCCTTCGATCTAATGGATTTCATGGTGCCATCAACAATTCTATGCCTGCGTTTTACTTCCATCAGTTGAGAATCATTGATGTCGCGCAGAATGATTTTATGGATCTCCTACCGAGTAACTATTTCAAAATTTTGAATGGTATGAGAAATGTGACTTCAGTTGATAAATTGGAATACATTGGTGTCGAGCAATGCACTAGTGACAAGCAAGACATTGGTAACCAGTGTTACCCTAATAACGAGCAAAAAGGTAAACCTATAAGATGTACTCCACGTCTATGTCCTCCAGAAGAAGGTCCTCAGTTTTATTATGAGGATTATGTGGAGGTAGTAGTGAAAGGGTTCAAGAGGAAGCTTGTAAGGATCTTGGAAATTTTCACAACTATAGATTTCTCGAGCAATCAATTTCATGGACCGATTCCTGAAGAGTTGGGAGAGCTCAATTTACTTAGAGGGCTAAACTTGTCTCACAACAGTCTCACACGTCAAATTCCGTCATCATTGGGGAAATTAGCAGAACTCGAGTCATTAGATCTCTCATCAAACAAGCTTGAAGGTGGGATTCCTGAGCAATTGACAAATCTGACATTCCTATCAGTTTTGCATCTTTCACACAATAAACTTGTGGGCCACATACCTGAAGGGAAGCAGTTCAGTACTTTCTCAAATGATTCCTACATTGGAAACTCTGGGTTGTGTGGATTCCCATTGACAAAGAACTGCCACGAGGAGGAAGAACCAGGAGCACCTCCAAAATTTGATGAAGAGGATGAATCTGCAACGCTCTTTGAGTGGAAGTTTGCATTGGCAGGCTATGGGTGTGGACTGGTGTTGGGACTTAGTCTGGGATACATTGCCTTCACTACAGGAAAACCATGGTGGGTGGTGAAGAAAGTGGAGAAATACCAACAGAAATTAATTGGAAGGTGCAACCAAAGGCATAAGAAGAGAAAAACCCAAAAACCCAACCAACACTGTTAGGTGAGTAAGTTTCTACAACTGTCTCTATAATATTTGTGTTCTACCTAAGTTCTAACCATAAAAATCAAGGTATATTATATAATAGTTAAACTTAATTTTTCTACTTTTACTTTATTTTACGTAGGTGCAACCAAGTGCAGTTGATTTCCTACTCTGGGGAGATATGGCAACAGTTGCTTCTTGAGTTTGTTTCCATCTTTTTCATGTTCATTGTTGATATATAGTTGTGTTGACTTGTGTGGGAATTATGGTTATGTATGAATTTGTGTTAATTTCTTTTGGATT